ACAACCCTATACACATAGGGCATTTTCTGATCATTCCTTTTATATATATATATATATATAATACATAGGGCATTTTCTGATCATTCCTTTATATATATATATAAGAGCAATATTTTTTTTTTCCAGAAGGTGCAATATTAGAATTTTTGAAAAGCCGGTTAATATAAAAAGTAATTTCATAAAGAGGGTTTTTAATTGTGATGAACCACGTATCACGATCATTCTCTATTCTTAATTATCCGAATGTTTTGTGACAAAAACAAATCTTATAAAATTTATTTTTTAAAATTTTTTATATTTATTTATTATTAAAAAAATTAATTAATAAAAATTATTTTGAAGTCAAAGAAAAGTTAAGCTTAATTTTTAGAAAAATATTTTCTTTTTATTCTAAATGGAAAATATTTTTCAAAGAGTTATGAAAAATTCAAAATGTCTTATTATTTGTTAATTATATCAAATTTAATTTTTAATCTTTTAATTATTTTATATTTTATTTAAAAAAAATTCAACTTTGTCTTTTAGAACTTGATTTAGTTTGGTTTTTATACCATCTTTGATTCCTTTTATTTTTATCATTATTTATTTTTTTAATTTTTTTATTAAAATGTTTTATATATCATATTTGATTTTTATTTATTTATTACTATTTATTGTATTTGAAATAATTTATAAAATAATATTTTTTAATTTTATCATCTTTTAATTTTTTAATTTATCAAATTTGATATCTATTCTTTTAATTTCTATTTATTTTATTTGAAATAATTTATAAAATTAGATTATTTTTTTAATTTCATCTCTCTTTAACTTTTTCATATGTCAAATTTGGTATTATTCTTTTGTTAAATTTAAAAAAATATTAATAAATTATTTTTCAACTTATTTTTCATAATATAGCTAAAAATAGAAAATATTTTTCAACTAATTTTCTATAATACTATCAAATATAAAAAATAATTCACTTTTGAAGAATTTACTTTTTATAGAAATCACTTTAAAAAAACTACTTTCCAAATTGTTAATTTCATAACCTTGCATGTGTACAAGTTTTTTATTTTAGTTTTTGATAAATCACGGAATGAAATGTTATAAAAATATATTTTCAAAGCAAAGAATGCTCATATGAGAATATACTGCCTGTATGACTAGCAAGAAAATTGTATCAGGAGATCTTATATATATATATATATATATATCGGGAGATCTTATATATATATATATGATCGGCACGGCGGCTCATATAAACGTGCGGCAATGAATTTGCATGATAACCACAAATGATATTCAAAAACATCAGGAGAACTTCCAACTCTTATTTTCAATCAACATGCCAAAGACTGTTTTATTTGAGTGGTAATTAATGGATTTCATTTATTTTTTACGGGTATTAATCGAAAGGTGGGGAATCAGGAGGAGTTGTTTTGATGGTCAATAAAGTATGCTTTCTCCTTTAATTTTTTATTTTAAATTTCGTTCGTTAAATCAGTTGTGACAAATGAATTTTTAAAATTATACGGAAAAAAAGCTAGATATTAAAAAAATGTAATTGAAAGATGATTTTGAATTAATTTCGCACACTTCTAAAACATGTCCTAGATAATTTAATTTAATTTGTTTCTGTTCACCTTTTATTTTTCTTCTTCAAAACCCCCGGCCCCTTGTTTTTTAAAAAAAAAAATAAAAAAAGCGACCGTCAATTTATGAGTTAAGAAATTCATAAACCATTAAGTAAGACTCCAGTCGAAACCAGTTCTAAATTCTAGATCATCTCAGCTGCTTATGGAGTTATGTTTCGATCCAATTCTATGATATTCATGAACGATTAAGTGATTACTGATCATGCCAGAAACTAGAGTACTGTTAAAAAAGGGATTAATTAAATGATATCATCCATAGACGAGATCCCAATAAATAATTTTAAAACTAGAAGTTCATAAATATACAGAATCAAAGTTGAATCGAAGAGCTGGTGATAGGAAAAAATAATCAAGGAATTCTTAAATACACCCTTGAATCAAGCCTAGCCTGTTTCATAGAAAAAGATACACCTTTTGCCCTCCCGAAAGTTATTTTTTATTTAATTTATAGAAATATATTATTTATTCATTTTATAGCCTCAGTCTAGATCCTTTAATTAATATATGAATTATGAACGTCGAAAGAGATTAATAAGATAGCATTTTCAACCGAAAATAACCCTTTATATTCTTCTTGTTTTAAAATTAAAAGATTTAATTTTAAAATGAATTTATTCTTATATTCTTATCTAAGTAAACATATTTTAATTTCTCATACGGGCAATCAGCCGAGAAAAGACACCATGCATGCATAACCTTGTAAAGAACGAAAGAAACAGCAGCATCAGTTTCCAAATTGTTTTTTTTTGTCTAAACACTTTCCCAAAAACTAGTTAAACGCCCCTTCAGACACCGTGACCGCTGTCCATCCAATATTAACACTTCTTTAAAGACCACTTGATGACTCCCTTGATAATGTTTAATCGTGCTCGAGTATTTAATACCTTCTGCCAACGTATCTCTAGTGCTTAATCTTAAGAGGCAAAAGACAAAAATGAAAGCTCTAGTTTTCTGGAATTCCTTCAAAATCTCAAGTGGCATTGATTCCCTCTAATCATGCTCTTCCTTTATTATTTTCTCTCTTCTGGGCCTTGCGTCCCGGTCAATCTAGCATTCTCCAAAGTTCGACAGGGTACAAATTAAATTCCACTTGATAGGACATTTTCTTTATTGATTTCAATGTGTTGGACCGAGTTGGCAGGCCGTTATGGTTCGAGATCTAACTCAGCTAGCAAGCTATGGTTCGAGATCTATTCAAAATCTGGTTGGGACTTTGTCTTGTTAAAAGGGCACCATGTATATGAGATGCGAGTATTTTAAGCAAAGAATGATAGCATTATTGGATACTTGCTTGCAATTGCAACTTGCATGCTGCTCTATGTTCATGCACAAGCATCAGCACATTCTACTACTCGTCATTTTTCCTTGATAACTTGAGAAAAAAAGAAGTTGTTACATCATGGTTTGAGTTCTGCCTTCCATTGCGTGCAGGTTCATGATACATCAATTACAGCCCGATTCGGAGTCAATATTGACCGCCTTTTTTTATACATATTCAGGTAAATCTCATCTTATTATAATTGGGGAGCTATGTCCTAAATGTGGAATTGCATAAACTCTTAACTATTTAACTAACAAATATTTAACCATGAATGATTAGAGAGTTCGTTTTTTTACTTTTGAGTCATGATTTTAAAGTTATTTTTATAAATAATTGACTTATGACAAAAATGAACTAAAATTAATTTAATTTATAAAAATATTTGATAAGAATTATTCAAAACAAATTATTGAAGAATAAATGTAGCATTGGTTATAATTTATAAGTTAATAGGAAAAAAAATTCAACTTTTTATTAAATCAAGACTTGACTCAATTCTATAACAGATTTTTTATTTAATTCAAAAATTGTTTCTCACTAGATTCACTCGTAACTTCTTTTCAATCAAAATTAAAAAAAAATTAATTAATTTTCAAAAATCTTATCAAACATAACCTAAATCAATGTATTGATGATAGTTGACTTCAAATCTATACCTTGTTTTCTCCTTGACTGCTTTTATTGCTTACAAGGTGCTTACTGTATTTTTTTATCTGAGCTATCGAAAATAAAAATGTCCATGTACACGGTTTGGTTCTAGGCAGTTAAATCATCAGATTCAATGATGACTTGGGGTGGGCCAAGATTCTAACCAAGCCTTAGTCCATAAAAAGGAAAAGGAAAGGAAAAAATAGTCCATAGCCCAGTCCTCAGTACCTGGACTTGAACTAAAAACCTAAAAGCCCATCCTCTAAGCCCATGATCTTAGTCTGGCCATAAATCCCACCACCACCTGCACTCCCTGGCCAGTGTTTCTTTGGATTTTCATTGATTTCGACCACCTTCAGCTTGTCCCTTTTTTTTTAACCAATCCGAAAGTCCTATAGCTACCTCTAGCGACCTTAATTTATTACAGGAATTTAAATCATATTAAGAAAAATGTACTAGGAAATTACAAATTATTTAAAAGTATAGAACACTAATACAAAGTGAAATTACAAGAAGAAAAAAAAAGTAAAAACTGTGGCTGGATAGAAAGAATGGCTTATGGTAAAGATGGTGATGAGACTACAAGTTCAGTGTAGGAAGTAGCTAGGTTAATCAGTACTTCTAGACCTCGAAAATCAGTTACAATTTCCAAAAAGAAGCAATGTATCCATGAAAATAATAAATATTCAAGGACTTCAATGAAAGAAATACACATTTAAGGACAAAATATCAATATCGAAATGCTAGAATTAATTCTTGACAGACTAACCAGCAGCTGCAAACTGAAAGAATTACAGTATTGTTCATCCATCCAATATTACAGCAGAAAGTAAAGGTTTATTTGGGGAAAAAAAAGCTTCCAAATTCCCCATCACAAGTTCGACTAAAGACATCATAGTTTCCTCGGTGTGGACTGCTTGCTCTATTTGGCGACAGGACAACATTGTCTAATGCAATGAGCTCACTTGGAACATCATTCATGCTCATTCTCAAACACATCCAATCCATCACCTGCGATCTCTCCTTGCATCAATCAAGCATCTCACCATCTCTCCCTCGTCTATAACAGCCCCTCGTCCGACATCAATAATCAACCCTCTTCCCCAATGTCAAAAACTCCTTGCTAATCATGCAGCGAGTCTGATCATTTGATTCACAGCAAATTATGAGGACCAGTTGGCCACTACTTCACAGACATTTGAATAGCATGGATAGGGCCCAGATGGCTTCTTGGTCCTTGAGTTGTACAAGATATTGCAACCAGTGCTCTAGCCCTTTTGCAGCTTCTTGGCCTATGCTCCCAAGTCCAACAATCCCAACTTTCTTGCCTCCTAACTGAAACAACAACCTTGAACATCTATACGAAAAACAAATTACAACCATCAATCATGCATGGAAACAGGATATCGATAATCCAGTTGATATTTAGATTAATACATAGAAACAGGATATCAATAATCCGGTTGTTATATGGATTAATACATAGAAACAGGATATTAATACATAGTTCAAATCCTTCCCTTAGAGCATAGAGGAAAAGATCCTTTGTTATCCCACAACCCTTGTGGTACAGACCGATTACCAGTCAATATCTTTCTCGGCACATCAATCAACAGCCCCACTGCTATATCAGCATTATCTTCAGAAAACAGGCTTCCAGCATAAGCTACAGATATCCCTCTCCTACGACACTCTTGCAAGTCGATTTGGTTGAATCCAGCCCTTGTGGTGACAATAAGGCTCAGTGACAGCAACAGCCTTATAATGTTGGTGTTGACTGGACAGGCTTCATGAGAGAGAATAGCTTGGACTGAGAGCTCAAGAAATAGTATAAAGGAAGTGGTGAGTCCCATGCTGTCAAGAAATTTGAAGAATAGCCGTGGTTGAAGGACTAGGACTTTTGGGAGTAGGTTTGATGATTATTTTCTTGACGATGATGATTCATTCTCAATTTAGGACTGGTTTGATGATGTTACTAGAATTACAGGCCTCTTTGGACTCCTATTATATTAAGATTGTAGAAGCTAAAGCTAAGCCGATAATGTGCATTAATCATACATCAATGACAGGTGAAAGTAAGGGTGTGTTGGAAAAAAAAGCTTCCAGATTGCCTACCACAAGTTCACACAGGGCCATGAAAGATTCTGGGGTAAAGACAGCTCTATGAGGGGATAGAACAACATTATCCAATTCAAAGAGCTCTTTTGGAACATCAGGCTCGTTCTCGAACACATCTAGCCCAGCACCTGCAATCTCTCGATGCACCAAACACCGCACCATTTCCTTCTCGTCAACAATAGCCCCACGTCCAATGTTAACGATGACACCTTCCTTCCCCAATGCTGAAAAGACATCCTTATCGATCATGTGGCGGGTTTGGTCCGTCAATGCGCAACAAATGATGAGGGCATCACTATTAGCTGCGAGCTGGCGGACATCGGCATAGAATGGATACGAAAGATGTGCCTTTTTCTTTCTTGAATTATATAAAACATTGCAGCCAAAAGCCTCTAGCCTTTTAGCAATTTCCAAGCCAATGCCTCCCAATCCGACAATACCCACTCGCTTGCCTCTCAACTGAAATTATCAACAGCCAATACCACAAAGAATCAGAAAACAGAATGGTCACCAAAAAATTCTCAAACCAAATAACATGATTGATAACTAAGGGGTGATCATGATTTATGACCTTAGAACCCAGAGGGTAGTCTCCTTTATTGACCCAAAGCCCCTGCCTCACATACCGATCAGAAGCTGTAATCTTTCTTAGCACATCAATCAACAACCCCACTGCCGCATCCGCGCCATCGTCAGAAAACACATTGCCCGCGTTGGTTACAGAGATTCCACGACGGTGGCATGCCTCCAAATCAATGTGATTAGTACCAGCGCTGGCAGTGACGACAAGACGCACGGAGGGAAGCAGCTGGAGTAAATCATCTGTGACTGGAGCGGAACCCGAGCAGAGAATGGCTTGGATAGAGTCAGCATGTGCGATAAGAAACTGAAGTAAAGGGAGAGGGGATTCCCATGCTTTCAATAATTGATATTTTTTTGATAAAAAAGATTGTTCTCCAATAACGGACAGGACTGGTGGTGGTTTTAGGAGGAGGACTTGCGGCAGGTCTTGGGGTTTGTGGTTTTGATCACTCGTGTTATCTTGCTGTTCTTCTTGATCCTCCATCAAAGGAAATGGAAAATTCTTGATTTTTTTTTTTGAATTAAATAGAGGGTACCCTATAAAGTACTTCAAGCTATAAAATAATTGGCAAAACAAACAGAACAGATAGCTTGCAGATGACAAGCAAAGGAAAGGTATCTTCTTGAATCATGGTGAAGAATGCATTGATGGTCACTGTCAATCGTGATGCCACGCTATGCTATGACTTTTCCTTTTTCTTTGGAATCTACAATCTAGTTTGGATGAGATCTGTTATTTTAAGAATTTTTTATTAAAAAAAAAAAAAAACAGAACATAAATTAACCTCTCAACCCAGTTAACCTTATTTTTATTAACGATTGCATAAATGTTTTGAATGACTAACATTCATATATAAGAATTTACTAGAATATAAATTTAAACAATTAATATGTGTTCAGTGACTTTAATTTAGTATCAAATAATTAATATCTACGCTATGAGATTTGTTGGTAAATATATTATTTTACTCAATAATTATAATTTTACAAAATTAAATTTATTGTTAGATTTATTTTATTTAAATACAAAATAATACAAGTTGTTATATTAAAAGAGATAAATATCTTGTTGTCAAATTATATACTTTAAATCCTAAGGATAAAATAATAACTTTTTTCATGAATTCTTTAAGATGAACTAAACACAAAAACACTTCATTAGATTATTATTTTTTTTCATTTTAAAGTAAACATGAGAATTACATTCCCATCAATTATGTTCTCAACAATCACTTCTCTAGCAATAATAATTAAAGAAGAAATCTAATCTTGCTGGTACAACATAGCATTTCAACGATGCCAGCAATTTAATGGAATTGTTTCTGAAGTGCAGAAGAGCTAGAAGGAATTCATTGCTGAGGAGAGAAAACAAAGGAGCACGAGGCTCTGATACCATGTAGGTTTTTGGAAGAAGAAGAATTTTCTTTCTTGTTCTTTTTATAGTTCTGGTTACAAGATCTATAGTAAAGGAGGCCACCAAACCAGGAATGCCACAAAATCAAGAAATCAAAAAATATAAAACGATAACTGGAAACAAATACTCCTAAAAATCTGAAACAATAATTCCATGTTTTATTTGCAATATCACTTCCTGTTTTGTTTCCTACAAATCCGACGTAACTTATTTGCTAATTGGACCCATGGTATTTGAAGAACAGCGGTGCCTGAAAGTGCTAGCATTTGCAGAATGTCTTGGGATTGATGCTGATGGTATTGTTCGTGTTCCATTGAGGGTTTTGGGATCCTGAGACGGGAGGCTTTTGTTTGTACAAATTCTGAGTTAGGAGATGGAGATTTAAGGAAAATTCTATGGAGACATGATTCACACAAACGAATGTGCAGACTAAGTTTTCCAAAATACAAGGCAATATTCTCATTGAGAAGGTGAAATGGATCCATCATGTGAAACTATGCTAACGTGTATTCAAAACAGAACATAATGGAAAATTTGTTGTCTTAAGTCCTGATGTAATGTGATTGACGGAGCAAGGCAGAACCATGCATTAATTTGTGGATAGGATGTGTGCAGAATACAAAAGCCCCATGCCATAGACTCTGTTAGAGAATGGGGAAAATACGAAGAAACAAAGCTGGTTTACTATACACTCTCTCTCTCGTTGTTTTCAAGGTCACGACAGGCAAGATGGGTAGTTTTGATTAGGAACGATGGAGGAAAGGAGTTCTACTTCAAACTTTGTTTGGTTTAGAAATGATTAGGAATTGTCCTTCTCGACTTTGAATAAACACAGAATTAAAGAACAATCCTGCTCTGGCGTGTCAAGTTTTTGGAGAACAATCCTACTATCAATGTGGAACCAATAATCTACATACTGAAAGGTATACACGGAAATACTTCATCCATCTAAGGCTATCAATATGCAAAGCTGTGTAATCTAATCCTGCAATGATCATAAATAGAGTGCAAATATTTAGGCAATCAATGTGACCAGCATCCTCGTGGAGTTTAACACGTATGAAGTATAAGAAATTGACTATGTATCGATCTTCAATGTCTTGCTTAAAGCGTCAGTGATAAACAATGGCAGGGATTAGAGGTTTAAACAACTAATATACTCGACACTGATGGCCATAAAAAGGTTCTTGTGCAGAACTTTCCCCTCCAATACAGGCTATACACAACTATCAAGTACTAATAGCACAGCATCATCTTTGACATCTCATTAACTTTCTTGTTCATTACTCAGTTATTCCCTGGACGCATGCAGATTGTAGGACAATTACTAGAAGGAATCAAACAAATTTTGCTCGAGAGCCACAGAAAGAGGAAGAGATTGTTATGCTTATAGTTGACACCAAATAACCACACAATGAAAGAAACATTCGTCAATCTTCTTCTGATGGAAAAGAGATTCCGTTTGCAAGAAACAATACCACATAAATACTTCAGTGCTGGTATGCCCATCACTGAATCTTTTCTCACTGGCATTTATAAATTAAAATTATTTCTTACTTTATTTTTATTTGATTGGTCCACATGTACAAGAAGGCATAGTGTAGAGGAAAAGTTGGATTTTTGGAAAAACAAAAGGAAAAGTGGGTAGAATCTTCAGTAATCCTTTTAATCAGGGCAAGGTGCCCGGGATAATCTGGCTTTCTCTTTTATTCCAAACTGATATGTTTCTTTTTTCAGTTTATGATCGGAATCTTTTTTCCTTAACAAAACTAATTTCCTAATTTAGCATACATTGTCTGCTAACATTAAACCTTAAAAACATATGCTAATAACTCAAACTGACCCTAACTAAGTCTCTTTCTATTTTATGATTCTAGCGTTAAGGGCGTGACCAGCCAGCTCTTGGGCACATGACTAAGCCCTCCCAAGACCTGTCTTAAGCAGGTCAGCCACATTCAGAGACTAGTGTATTCACAAGAAATTAATGGTGTTACATCTCAAAAAAAAAATGTGTTACTTCTTATTAGTGTCTTAAGCAGGCCATCCAATGAATTTTTCCTTCTCTTTTCTGGTAAAGATTATTATTCCTTAGTAGTGTATGAACGAATGCCGCCAGAATAAAGCATGACTCGTTACATATAGCATGGCCAGTGAAATAATACCAATCAATATAATGATCAAAATCCATACCTAGTTGAAATGTGCTCACTAACAGGGATCAATTAGAAGAAAGTTACAAAACTAACCTGCAAATACAAGAGTTAATTAAAACATCCATCAATCCCTATATTCAGAAAGTAGTGGTTTATTTGAGAAGAAAGCTTCCAGATTCCCCATCACGAGGTCCCTTAAATCCAAAAATGATTCTGGAGTAAAGACGGCAATATGTGGTGACAGAACAACATTGTCCATTGCAAAGAGCTCCACAGGAACATCTGGCTCATTTTCAAACACATCTAAACCAGCGCCGGCAATCTCTCCTTGCACCAAACACTGCACCATTTCCTTCTCATTGATGATAGCCCCGCGTCCGATATTTACAATGACACCTTCCTTCCCCAATGCTGACAGTACTTCCTTGTTGATCATGTGGCGGGTTTGGTCAGTTAATTCACAACATATCACAAGAACATCGCAGTTAGCTGCAAGTTCACGGACACTTTCGTAGAAAGGGTATGAAACATGCTGTTTTCTCTTCCTGGAATTATATGAGATACTGCACCCAAAAGCCTCTAACCTTTTAGCAACTGCAAATCCAATATTTCCCAATCCAACAATCCCAATTCGCTTGCCTCCCAACTGAAATCACCACTCACAAAAAGTGGGGGAAATAACTTAAATAATCAGTTGATTAGAGGGTGCAATTCAATCGCGTTTTTTGCCAAGATAGAAATTTTTATCTCCATTTGTCTCATTGTCAAGAAATGGAATGGTTTTAGTCATCAAATTATGATTCTTCATATTCAGCAACAAAATTAAAATGACGAACTATTTAAATGCATAGGTGTTCTTTGCTCAAAGCTTCCTCAACCCTCAACAATTATCAGTTGCTTTATCATGAGGCAACATTTTCTTTCTGATAAACAAAATTAAGAATCCACAGGCAATCAAGAATTAGCATTAAGAACCAACAAGACAAAATGGATATAACATAGAGAGGAATTTAATGTAAACCTTAGAACCAAGGGGGTAGTCCCCTTTAGTAGCCCAAAGCCCTTTCCTCACATATGCATCACTCGCCGAGACCTTTCTCAAAACATCAATTAACAACCCAACAGCAAAATCAGCCACGTCATCTGAAAAAACACTGCCTGCATTGGCAACCTTAATACCACGCCGACGGCACTCAGGGAGGTCAACCTGGTTAAGTCCGACACTAGTAGTGACAACCACACCGACCTCTGGCAACAGCTGCAGGATGTCAGCGGTTATGGGTGTGCCAACAGAGGAAAGGATGGCTTTTATAGAGGGAGAGTGAGTGGACAAGAATTGGTGTAGAGGGAGTGAGGAGTCATAGGCTTTCAAGAAAGTGAATTTGTTAGATGCAATGTGTCGTTCACCAACGTGAGCGAGGAATGAAATTGGTTTTAGAATCAGGACTTTGGGGAAATCTTGCTGGGCTTTGTGACAATCAGTGGAGACTGCCATCTTGAGAACAGAAGCTCGGGAGAGATGGGGGTTTTTCTTTCCTTTTCTTTTGGAGACGAGACCCTCCTCGGTAAAACCATGGCGATTCTGCCCAGTTATATATTTTAACAAGACACACATATTACTGTCCGTCTGCATCGTTGTAATTTCTGTTTTTAAAGTTTTTTTAAAATCATATTTTTTTTTATATATAGTTTAGATAGGTTGAAGTTAAGAACATAAAAAGAAATATTTAAAAATATTTATTTAAAAAAAACCTATTAAATTACAGTACCAAACACGCATTTATTCAGGATGTCACATAAGGCTTCTATAATTAAAGAAATTATTAGAACAATCCTTTTACTTCTTTCTATGCTCAGCTTCAAGCTCTACGAGTGGGAAGAAATTATCAGAATCCATCTCCAGAATCAATCTGCGAAGAACCATTAGCCATGCCAGCTCTAGACCAGTAACCACTGCCCATAGTTCTGCCTTGGCAGAAGTGCACAAGCCAGTACTGTTAACCGCGAAACCCTTAATCCAAGACCCAAGGCTATCTCTAATTGGACCTCCTGCTCCTGCCACACCTGGATTACCTTTACCACAGCCGTCCAAGCTTAACTTCATCCTCTCCATGGGAGGATACGCCCATCCCACC